CTCTAAAGGAACATGATAATTTGACATTTATTTTGATTTTCAAAACTTTAAAACATTAACTTTCAAATTGAAAAAAAAAATTATGTGTTTTTTGAAAAAATTGAATTTTGTTTCTATAAATGGGCATGATGATGGAACATTGATGTAAAAAAAAAAAAAAAAACTTTAAAAATGAAAAAACTGTAATGTTTTCAATTTTAAAACTAAAAAAAAAAAAAAACCAATAATGTTCTTTGCTTTATTGAATAGTTGAATCAAACCAATAAGTAGGAGAGCAAAAATGTTTAATCTAATACTCTGTTTTTTTCCCCATTAAGTAGTGAAACAATTATATGAAACATTAGTTTGCAAAATTGATAATGTTCTTAGTTTTACAAATTGAGAAAAACCGATAATATTTTTAGTTTTACTAAATATGACTTAAAGGTTCAAAAATTTTTAGATAGGACCTGAGTTACCACAACATTTGTAAATAGGACTTTTAGATAATTAATTCTAAATTAAAATAAGGTTCTTGCTAATAAATGGCTCTAGGGCACAACTAAAAGACAAAATATTTGCAAAACACAATACATTTTTATTGAAATCAATACAGTTTTGAATATTTTTATATATTTTCAAGACACTTTTTACACACTTTTCAACATTAAACAATGTCTATGGGGCACTTGTTAGCATTTGCCTTTAAGTAAGGAAAATGCTATAGGTCTCAAATTTTGTACTAAACAAATGACTAAATATCTCACATGGGTGTGGGGTCCACAAAATTGCGAACCCAACACCCATGTGAGATATTTGATTATTTGTTTGGTAGAAAATTTGGTATCCCTAACATTAATCAGTAAGTAAAACGTTTGATTTTATATGAATTATTTTAATTATTTTATTGATTTTTTATCAATTTTTTTAAAATAAAAAAATCATATCTTATTTCAAAATTTTCTTTTCGTCAAATTTTATGGGAAAAAAAGTCATATTTAATTCTTATTTTTTAAAAATTTTATCATATTTAAATTGAAAAAATTAGTCTGAGGTCCCTCTCCCGTTTTCCATAATGGAAGAGATTCACAATATTATTTTATGATGTCTAAGGTTCATCAACTTCACACTCATATATCACAGAGAAATCTGACTGTTGCTAATCGAATCTCATTTCTCTCTCTCTCTTTTTCTCTCTCGATGACCGTTTAGCCTTCTTATTGTTTCTTCCATTTGATGAGAACAATGAGAAACAAAAAGGAAATAAAAGAGAAAGCGTTGTGAAGTTCCTGAAGCGGCTCCCTACCAAATTAGAATTTAAAACAGGTGATCATTACCCATAAAAACTCTCTGATCAATTAGTGCATCAGAATGAATAGCATATTATATAAAGGACAATTAATACTGGGAACATGGATTTAGCAAAGAAGGTGTTTGATGAAATGCCAAGGAGAGAATTTTTGTCTAGAGAAATTTGGTGTGGGTGACGTGTAAAATTTCTCTGTGATGTGTCTAGAAAAATTTGGAATTTTCTCTGTGATGTGTTCAAAGAAATTGGGAATCACAGAGAAATTTGGAATTTTCTCTGTGATATGTCCAGAGAAATTTGAAATTTTCTCTGTGCTTTGTGCAGAGAAATTCTCTGGATCGAATTTTCTTTGGATCGATGTTGAGAGACCTTAGACATTATGAAAATATTGAGTGTCCTTTATGTTATAAAATCTTAATATTAGGGACCTTAAAAAAAAAATCTCCTATTCTAAATATAAATTTAGGTAAATATATATTTCAATTGATGTACATCTTTTTATTTTTTAAAAATAAAATTAAGTAATTATATATGCATACTAATATCCAAGAATACATATGATCCACGACAGTTCGGTAGAAAACTGTGCATGATGAGCTCAAATGTTGAAAGAAACCGTGTACATTGGAGCTAGCCGAGGCTGCTCAGCCAAATAGTCAAATCCAATTTTTTTTTAGATTGAACCTAAAATCCAAAGTTAGTCACAAGAGTTTTCATTTTATTGACGGATGCTACTCAGTGTATTTGATTTCAATTTTTTGAATTTAATATTATAAAAATTAAGTTTTTTTATTTTTTGTTTTTAGTGAATATTTTTAAAATTTTATGCAATTTTTTTTATTTCTTTAAATGCACCTTACTTAGATGTATTTAAAAAGTAAAATATTTGTAAAAATATTTTAAAAAATAATAAATACACAAGAATACAAAAAAATGCACTGAATTTTCATATTTTTTTATTTTTCATTTTTGGTATTTAGTGAATTTTTTATAGATTTTTTTTTTCATAAATATTATATTTTTTAAGTATATTTATGTTAGGTGTATCTAAAAATTTAAGAAATTACTTAAAATATTTAAAAAAATTCAGTAAAAATAAAAAAATACAAAAAATAAAAAATTTTAATTTTATCAAAAATAAATCCTGAATATGAAAACAAACAAGCTGATTAATTTTTAGTGTCGAAATTTCTGATATATTTGACCCTTTTAACACTTCAATCAATTGACGAACCAAATTTGAACAAGAAGGCTTGGTGGAAACAGCGTTTTATGACTGCCACACAACACATTAATGCTTCACAAGTCTCTCTATTTTTATTTTTTTTTTCCGCCAAAGTTAGATTTTATTGATAGATAGAAATACATACATCAAGAGTGATTATTCCCATTTCTAGAAGGATTACAGCCAAGGTTCAGTATTCCAAACACGAACACTCGACATCCAACAACCATAGCCCACAACACACTGCGACCACCAACTAACAACCATAACGACAACATATTGTGGCCTCTAACCAATGACCATACTCACAACATATTGCAGCCAACAACAACAAAGACAAACCAAAATCTCCATGGAGGAAGAAAAGCTTCCACAGAGGAGTGAAAAAACAAGAAAACATAAACACACAAAAAAAAAAAGATCAAAAAACTAGATTCACACGATCCATAGCGCAAGACTGACAAGCAACTCTAGTGTTGACTTCAAATCTACAGCCCACAGAGGCCGTGAAAGCCTGAATGATAGAAAGCCTCAGATCAGAGAGTAAAAGACCAGATCTAAGAAAAAACAAATCACCTGCGTAGACATAAAGGAAAGGGGAAGGGAAAGGGGGATCGGATGTCACCACCCCCACTCCCCAAGGTACAACTGACAAGCAACTCTAGTGTTGACTTCAAATCTATAGCCCACGGAGGCCGTGAAAGCCTGAATGATAGAAAGCCTCAGATCAGAGAGTAAAAGACCAGATCTAAGAAAAAACAAATCACCTGCGTAGACATAAAGGAAAGGGGAAGGGAAAGGGGGATCGGATGTCACCACCCCCACTCCCCAAGGTACAACTTGGGCTTGGGGTTGTGCTCCATCCAGATTTTAAGTTCAACTTGTACTAAGTGCTATCAACTCTTTAGAGTAACGCCCGTGGACTCTGTCTGAGATTTGCCTAATATACGTGGAATGAGCATTTTGCATGAGAAAGAGAATGTGTGTGAACCATAGGTGAAACGGAGTTATATTTCATTCACATTTCATTTACTTTTTTCCTTTTCCTTTCCAAATCTCTCCCCAAATCTATGAATTAAATACAACCTTAAGATGCAAATGAGTAGTGATGGAACAACAACAAGACCGTGAGGGGCCGTGGCCCCCCGCTCATGAGAAACAATTGAGTGTATGATACTTGATAATATGCTTACCATTTGATAGATATATTGGCCCCTAAACTACTACACAGTTGAAATCAAGGCCCATTTTATATCTTGACATTTTATAGACATTTTGTTTATAATTGGGTAGTTTTTTGATTTAATGAATTAAAGGTATAATGGAAGGATTATTAGAATGTTGATTTGTACATTTGATTTATTAAAAATAATAATAAAAATACATGACAAATAAAATTATCATTTACCATTATAAGTGAATTGCCATTTCAAATGGAGGTTAACCAACGAGTAATCTCATTTCATTTCACTCTTATTCTAATGAACCAAAAATGACATTAGGACTAATTTAATTATTTTAAGAGGTTAAGGGTTTTACTCTTGTCACAAGTAAAAAAAAATTTCTTCAAACTGTAGTCTCCGATGTACACATAATAATAATAATAATAATAATAATAATAAAATGATTTTATTGAGTTAACCAAATAATATAAAGAAAAAAATTTACGAATGTAGAATTTATACAGAATTTTATACCGGTTTAATGTGGCAATAAATTTTTTTTTTTTTTTTAAATTAGTCATGCCACATCTCGCCCCCTGAACATAAGATTCTAGTTCCGTCCCTGCAAATGAGATTGCAATGGGGTTTTCTCTGTCAAATTGCTTTATTTGTATGCAGAGCATCTCTCTGTATGACTTTGATCATAACAAGTCCATTATTTATTGAATTCGGAAAAATCTCTATTCATTTCGTGTTCAAGTTTTTTTACTGACAAGTTTTCTATTGGCTTTTGTTTTACATTGTATCAAACATCAGAAAATGTGGAAAACATTTTCCAGAAAGTGTTTTCTGCGGTCACAAATGGAGCATGAGTTTCAGAACAGGGTGTTTTTGGTAGTTCTCTCTGTTGGGGGGTTTAGTAGTTGGCGCCTTGTTAACTACTGGTCTTCTGGGTTTTTCTGCAATGTTTTTTTTTTGGGGGGGTTTTCTTGTTGCTCCTGTCTGGATCTTCTTTGTACTCTCTTTTATATTGATTGTAATTTTTATCATTACTATCAAAATATATTCCTTCTCTGCGGATAAAATGACTGATAATAACAAATTTATTTTATTTTATTTTTTTTTTTTTGCCAAAAAATATATATTTTGAACAATGATATGAAAGCAAAATTTATCAATTAATTGTTGAAGAAACCAAGATTGTTTAGCAACAACTGAACAATACATTTGAATCTTTACTAGTAATTCCCTCCATATCATGACCAAACATGTACATAGCTAGAGCTCTTTTTATTCATTGTAGTGGTATTACTGCAAAACTTTAAAAACAATAATAGTAATATTTATTTTCTTCCATGTATATCGAATTTATCACAAGGTACTGAAAAGGAGCTAGCTTCCATGTCGGCTAAATTTTTTTAGTGTCCTAGCATTGGAGATTATCACCAGGCGCAACCCCAAGTTGGTTGCAATAGTCAGTGTAGTACTTAACACGAGCATTGACTGCATTCGAGTTATTACCGTTGCACTCGATACTGTTGATGGCTCGGATTGTTGCACCGAATCCAGAATTTATGACATTGTGAACGTTGTTCATCCAAAACCACAAGGCCGTCTTGAACGACACCACTGAATCTGTTGCCACAATTTCCGGATTGTTTAGTCCATCGAACCCAATGCTTTGCCCAGCAGGCCCATAGTTGTAGTTCCATGACAGTTGAAGAGGACCTCTGCCATAGTAATTCTTGTTTGGTGCACATGGGTACTGAGTATTTGATGGATCACAGTAGTTCTTAGAGGCACCATCTATCTCTTCAATTCTCTGTCAAATTGCTTTATTTGAATGCGGATCATCTCTCTGTATGACTTTGATCATAACAAGTCCATTATTTATTGAATTCGGAAAAATCTCTATTCATTTCGTGTTCAAGTTTTTTTACTGACAAGTTTTCTATTGGCTTTTGTTTTACATTGTATCAAACATCAGAAAATGTGGAAAACATTTTCCAGAAAGGGTTTTCAGCCGACACAAATGGAGCATGAGTTTCAGAACAGGGTGTTTTTGGTAGTTCTCTCTGTTGGGGGGTTTAGTAGTTGGCACCTTGTTAACTACTGGTCTACTGGTTTTTTCTGCATTTTTGCAATCTTTTTTTTTTTTTTGGGTTTTCTTGTTGCTCCTGTCTGGATCTTCTTTATACTCTCTTTTATATTGATTGTAATTTTTATCATTACTATCAAAATATATTCCTTCCTTGCGGATAAAATGACTGATAATAACAAATTTATTTTATTTTATTTTATTTTTTTTGCCAAAAAATATATATTTTGAACAACGATGTGAAAGCAAAATTTATCAATTAATTGTTGAAGAAACCAAGATTGTTTAGCAGCAACTGAACAATACATTTGAATCTTTACTAGTAATTCCCTCCATATCATGACCAAACATGTACATAGCTAGAGCTCTTTTTATTCATTGTAGTGGTATTACTGCAAAACTTTAAAAACAATAATAGTAATATTTATTTTCTTCCATGTATATCGAATTTATTACAAGGTACTGAAGAGGAGCTAGCTTCCATGTCGGCTAAATTTTTTTAGTGTCCTAGCATTGGAGATTATCACCAGGCGCGACCCCAAGTTGGTTGCAATAGTCAGTGTAGTACTTAACACGAGCATTGACTGCATTCGGGTTATTACCGTTGCACTCGATACTGTTGATGGCTCGGATTGTTGCACCGAATCCAGAATTTATGACATTGTGAACGTTATTCATCCAAAACCACAAGGCCGTCTTGAACGACACCACTGAATCTGTTGCCACAATTTCCGGATTGTTTAGTCCATCGAACCCAATGCTTTGCCCAGCAGGCCCATAGTTTTTTTTTTTTTGATAACCGAGTATCCGGGCCAGCACCCCTTCGGAGTGACGCACCTCGACTAATCTCAGGGCCCTGAGCCAATCGACCGGGCAAAGACGCAGTGGCCCGGCAGTAGCCAGCTGGGGGTGGGATTCGAACCTGAGTTGTAGTTCCATGACAGTTGAAGAGGACCTCTGCCATAGTAATTCTTGTTTGGTGCACATGGGTACTGAGTATTTGATGGATCACAGTAGTTCTTAGAGGCACCATCTATCTCTTCAATATTGCAAAAAACTGCCAAATCAGAAAGTTTTGTGTTAGAAATATGTTTGTAAAATAGAACATTTTTGATTTTATGTGATATTTATTTACAACCACCGTGGGCCCATGCGAGGAAGGCTTGGATGAAAAGCCGAAATCAATTGACGGTCCAGAACAAGTTCCTGAATCGGGAAGGGTGCCAACTAAATACATCCATAAGGGCAAAATCCCCGATCATTGAATAACAGGAATAAAATAAAACAATAGATCATGTTGACGATCAATTCCTCCTCTTTGTCATTTTAAAGAAAGCATTATATTGACTAGACCGTTAGAACTCCTTTCACATTTGCTAAATTGTGCAAAATTTTCTAGTATATAAATATGTACATGCATAAAGTTTTTCAAATTTGTGCAGATTTTAGCAATTTACGTGTGGATTGGAGGAAAGTGAAGTTGAAATCTTACATCCAGTCTCATGCGTGGCATGTGCGAAGAAAGCAGCAATTTCGCGCTTAGAATCGTCAGCAGTTCCAGTGGTGCCAAACGAAGGGTAGGAAACGAGGGCTTCAAGAAATGCAGAGCGGGTGAAGAAGCTTTTCCCTGCACACCCATCAGCAGCTTGATTGATTATGCCATTGAAAAATGACTGTGTGACTATATCACCGATCGAGGAACCGTTGGAGCCAGAGCTAGTACAAGGGCCTGATTGGCACCCTGCCCCACAATAGGCGTTGTCAGAGCCACAGTACCCGAACTGGCTGCAACATAGATCTGCAGGACAACCGCAGTTCTGACCCAATACGATTTTTGGTACAAAACCGGTGAGAATTCCGACCAGAATGATTGTCAGTAAGCTGTTTTTGATATTGAGGGATACCATTTTGGAAGAGAAATGTGTGGATGGAAGTGTGTGTATGTGGGATGAAATTAAGGTGAGCGAGACATGTATTTATAGTTGTGCTATGGAAATAGTATGGAAAAATCAACATTCCTACTATACGATAAATGTTTTCAAATTAAAGTTTGAAAAAGTCTTAAAAAAAAATAAATTTTGATAACAAAATTCGACACAATCATCTTATATAAGGTGAGTCTTATATTTTTATGAATCTTATTTTTTTGAGAGTCCCACATTTATATGAAAAAATTGTGTCAAACTCTATAAAAATAGAACAAGTATTAAAGTTTAGCTTGCAATTATTAAAAATTATGTAATTAATTATGTAGGTAGAACAATGGTTGAAACTAGGGGTGAGCAACGGATATTTTGATCCATCCAAACCGAACCGAACCGAACCAATTCGCCGTATTTTGGATTGATGTGTGATGATGAGCGAATGGTTGCGGATTGAATTTTTTCAATCCGCCTAGTTTTGGACAGATGACGAATTTGATATTTATTTGGCGAGAAAAGATAGGGATCATGAAAAAACTTTCATGAAATTGATCATGAAATATTTATGACCCTTGGATTACCTTGATTAGTGTATGGTGTTTTATTTTAAGTGTAATCCAAAGGTCATAAATCTTTCATGATTATTTTCATGAAAATTTTTTCATGATACCTAGCATTGCTCTTATTTGGCTGCAACCGAATCTCCAAACCGCGAGCACCTAGTAATTTGTAAGATTTTATATTTTTAATTTGATTAGATATTCTATTTGTATTTTTTATTGAAAAAGAGTTTAGATATTCTATTGTATTTTCAATTTAGAAATCCTTTTATTAAATGGCAAGTGTTGATTTTTGGTATTTTTGTGTGAAAAATAGAAGTTTAAAGTTTTAAATTTTTTTAAAAATCAAATTATATAGTTTTTGAATAAAAAAAGTAATGAAATAGTTTTGATAATGCATGATTTTTTTTATACGTTTTTATTATTGCTATTTGACAATTTGCTTGATAATATTTTGATTATGTTGAGTTGGATTGTTATAAAAAAAAATGTTAATAAGTTGTTGTATTATGTTCAAAATTTGTAAAAGTTAAAACCACTAAACCAATTCGCATCTATCCGCCAACCCACTCAATATGCATCCATCAATTTGGCAAATGAATGCGAATTGATTTTTTTCAATCTGCTAATCTAACAAATATATGACGAATTAAAGATTTTTTAGCCGCAACCGAACTGTGTACACCCTAGTTAAAGCTTAGCTTGCAAGTTTCAGGCTTGACGTTCAATAAAGTGGACTGATTCTCACCATATGACCTTGTTTTTTCTTTTTTCTTTTTTTTAAAATTACAAATTAGTGAAATAGTGAATAATAATTATACTATAAATTATTATTTTTTTTTTATATAACTCTAACACACAGAAATGAATTGTACCAAATACGAAAAGAACTTGCACCATTTACATAGGACATTAATACCACTATAAAAATACAAATATTCTTACTATACAATAAAGATTATAAATTTGAACTTTGAAAAAGTCTAAAAATTAATAAATCGATAACAAAATCAGGTACAATCATCTTATATAAAAGGAGTAGCTACGTGTAAATCCTAATAAGTTAACTTATTATCTAATAAGTCCTATGAAAAATTTTTGTTATAAAAAAAGTCACTAATTATAAGTTTTAGCGACAATTTATAAAAATCATGACAAAAAAAGTCACCAATTGTCAATTTTTAGTAATGTATATAAAAGATTGACACAAAAAAATTATTTTTAGCGACAATTTTATCAAGACTTATTTTCAATAAGACTTCATGGAAATTAAGTCTAACTATTCGGACCTATTGATAGTTTACCCAAGATTGGATGGGGATAAATTACAATTACACTTTCTGAGATTTAGGTTTAATATATTATCCTTAATGTTTGGAAAATTATACTAACTCCATTGTTATTGTAATTATTTAGACGGAGTGAAAATATTGAACGCATACACTTTCTCTTTTCTTACTTTGCTTTACTTTTTTTTTTAATGTAATTTCCTCTGTTTTTCTGTTACGAGTTGTTACATTTTATATAAATTGAGAGATTTGTAAAATAAAACTATTAATCACAGGGGTGAGAATGTAATTTTCATAACGTTAGAGGGTAGGATGTAATTGGGTCAATCCTCAGAGAGTATCAGTGTAACGTACCCAATTTTTTTTGGGTACAATTTTAACACACAAGAAGGAATTGTACCAAATACAAGAAAAAATTGCACAATTCGCAAAGGATATTTATACCATTATAAAAATGTAAATATTCTTTCACTGTCTCATTAAATAAATGTACTTATTTAAATTAAATTATTTATTTACTTTTCTGCATACATTTTCATAAAAAATTTTTAAAAAATATCCTAAATAAGTAAATTCCAAATAACCCGTCACAATATGATTTAGTACCAAGGAATGTGCCAAGACATTTTCAATCGTCATGTTGATGGTCCCCACAATACCCATTTACAATTTAGGATAAATTATTAATAAGTTATCAATAGCTTATAAAGCACGGTTGAAAATAAATCTTAATAAAATTGTCGTTAAAAATAATTTTGTGTGAAATTTTTTTACATAGTTTGTAAAAATTGATAATTAGTGACTTTTTTCTTATCAAAGTTTCTATAAATTGTCACTAAACTTACAATTAGTGACGTTTTTATGTAACAAAGTTTTTGAACCGTCCCTAAAATTTACAATTAGTGATTTTTTTTGTGACAATTTTTTTATCATCACTGAAAATTAACAATCAATGACATTTTTTAATAGTATTTGATGAAAAACGTTATTAATTATCATAAAACTTACTGAACAAAAAATCCACCTATTAAGAAAATTCCTCCTTTTATTTTATTCATTTGGGTTTGGTTAGGAAGAGTTAATCAATGAAACAACCAACTGTTTTAATGATTCTAACGGTTAATATTAATCTAATAAAACCATATTGTGCATGCAAAAAAACCTTCTCTTTGTAAATGGATGCCCGATCTTTGCGGATGGACAAACTCTGGGTCAAACAGAGTTACAAAGATGCCCAATCTTTGCGGATGGACAAACACCGGGTCAAACAGAGTCAGGACTAAGTTAAAAATAATAATAAATTCTCGTACTGAACTCTATGGACCGACTTGATTTCAGTCTAGAAATTTGTTCCAAGTCCAATATTAAAATGTTGCTTTGTTTGGGAATAGGTTAATCTAGTAATTTTTAATTTTTAGTTAAAATATGAGATAAAAAAATTTATATATTTGGAATGACTTTTTATTTTCTTACAGAAAGATATGTAAAAAGTAAAGAGAAAAGAGAATAGAGAATATTTGACTTTTTTATATAATTTGTTAGATTTTTGACTTTTTTTAATGACTTTTTAACTTTTAAGCTAAAATGGGATGTTGCCAAACGAGACCTCGAGTCTACCCAACAATTTATATATTAAATAAATAAATATATGTGCATTATAAAATTAATTATTAATAATTTTAGAAAAAATTAATCTAAAGTCCTTCTCTCATT